AAAACTAACAGGTGCATAGGCCACCCTCTCTCGTGGGAATGCTAAGAGGTGCCACAGATTTTCACGGGGAACTTGTGATCTGTGGTGTGGTCTCTTCACTCTTCACTCCCCCCTCAGTCCTAATTGAGCCAGTATTTAATTTCTAATTTTAACATCAGATACTGGTGGGAATTTGCTTCTTTTTGCTACTAAATCTAGACAGTGGATGAAAGGGGGAGACCTTGCATTTAAATGGTAGTATTTTGATACACAAATTATTGCTATGTCTTTGAGAATATTGGTCTTTCGAAGAGGCAAGACCTAGACCAAAATTAAATTAAGCATGTTTATTACTCTACATATAATAGCACTTGCTCAGGGGTGGGCAAACTTTTTCAGCAGGGGGCCGGTCCACTGTCCCTCAGACCTTGTGGGGGGCCGGACTATATTTTTTTTGGGGGGGGGAAATGAACAAATTCCTATGCCCCACAAATAACCCAGAGATGCATTTTAAATAAAAACACACATCCTACTCATGTAAAAACCCATAGATTCCTGGACTGTCCGTGGGCCGGATTTAGAAGGCAATTGGGCCGGATCCGGCCCCCGGGCCTTAGTTTGCCTACCCATACACTTGCTTATAAGACTTGTAAGCAAGATTCAGGGTCCTTTCATTCTGCACTTTCCCACAGAAATGGAATGCAAACTTATGTTTCTAGCTAAATCATTAATAGTATTATCATTTGCTGGTTGTGTAAAATGTCTTGCCTGGTATATTGAAAACCTTTACATCATGCTTTAGTGGAGATAAATGCTGCTCTCTTGCCCTACAGATGGGTATTGTAGTCCAAAACAGAACACCAGTCCCTCCCAGCAGGCTATGCTGGCTGAGGTTGATGAGAATTGTAGTCCAAAGTTGTTCTAGATTGCTGAAGGCAGTTGTAAAGCGTTGCATGGTGTGCTGCAACTGAAATTCGAAGCCAGTCTTTATTTTAAACCAAGTCAGAGACACAGCCATTTGGAATCTTGCCATCTTTGTCAGATGTTTAGAATGTGTGACTTGCTACTGCCAGTTACATAGAGGAGTTAACCTTTAATCATGTATTGTTTGTGCTCACTTTGTTCTAAATCAATCTTGCTGTTTTACAGTATTTATTGGTTTTATTAACTGCTGTTTTCCTGACTTCCTGCTCAGGTAAATGATTTATTCGCTCACCACTTGCATTTATCAGTTTAAAGAAACAAAAACAAAGTCAAGGTACTCAGTAAACACAATATAGAAGGCTAAAAAAACTTCAATGAGAGATACAATTATAAACAATAATGTTAACAAACAGTATAGAGCTTCACATAAATAAGATACATTGAATGTGTATAATTGCACAGATCAGTTTTATCCAGAAGGTGATATCAGATGTGTTCTGAAGTTTATGATTGCAGCAAACACGTTTTGACTTACACAGTCTTCTTCTGTGACATACAAGAATATCATTACCTCTTGCAAGGTCCCTTTGGGGCATCATCTGAATATATGTTTACCAACATTTTTTCATTGAATAAAACTGGCTCACCTTACTTGTGAGATGCAACAACTAGGTGCTTAGTAGATGGAAAACATGCTCTTAGAAAGTGCAGTTTCCAGACCCATCTTAAATACAAAACATAAATGCAGTAGAACAGACTAAAAAAGCTTTCTTAAAAAGACAAATATCAAAAATATTTACTCCTTACCAACTACAATTTGCCCTCAAATAATATATAGTATATTGCTGCTTTGGATCCATGTTTAATGGAAGTCATTCTAATGCTTACAACTGATTACACAAAAGCCGTTTTGGAATTCACACCATGCGGGAATTTGCAATATTACAACTGGGCTTTATTCTGCAAATGCTTAATATTTTATGTACAATTCTATATTAAAGCTCCAAAGCATCACAGTCTTCAAAAACTTATGAATAAAATGTACACAATTCAGTATAAACAATTACAAAAAGAATACTCTCTTTAACAACAATGACAAGGGATATAAGTGGAGTTAACAGTAAGGCTTAGATTTCCATATCCTAAATAATGGACAGCTAATCTATATTTTCATTAAGTCTGATTCATGATAATGCTCCCATGGGTACAGATCACTTCCTTCTTTCTGTTTATACAATTATGTGCATTAGGAAGCTTGCATCGTTTTTTGCATCGTTCTTTTGGCATCGTACATGCCAAAACTTCATAGACGTATCTCCAGGATGATACTCAAGGAATATCATCCTCTAATAAAGGAAAATCATGGAGATGGATGGGATAGAACATTTCTCCTTAATGTGGCAGATTTTCATTTTGCACCTTGAACTTCGTGACACTCTGACTTTCTTTCTGTTAACCTGATTCTGGCGCCTCTTGATAATGCCACCTCTGATTTTGCTGGGCTCTGGTGACATGACAACATTGTTGTGTTTCAAAGGAGGCACCTTCTTCTTCCTACCCCATAAGAACCGAGTGAGTTGGACATTCTTCAACCTTTTCAGCTCCAGAAGGCTAGACATGCATTATGCGACCAATTCCTTATTATTACTGTTTCTTTAGAAAACACCATGCTTGGACTATGACTCAGTTATGGGTCTTGGCAATGTACAATATATGTAAGGTAAAAATTGCTGTTTATGAATACACATGTTTGCTGCTACTACTGTTTTTTTAAATAGCTGTTGGATAGTTTTGCAGGGTTTTTGTGGCCCTTGGACAAACAATTATCAGTGGACTTTCTTTGGTGCAGCCCCTTGATAGTCTAACGCCTTGAACCAAAACGTAGGCAAAAGTTTTATTTCCCCCCCTTCCTTTGATTGTGCTGTGCTGCCTTTGTGTTCATGGTGTTCAAAGCTATCTGAATTAAATGCTTCCTAGGGAGCAAGCCTCACACACTGAACATAAAAGGTAAAGGTAAAGGGTCCCCTGACCGTTAAGTCCAATCATGGACGACTCGGGGGTTGCAGCGCTCATCTCGCTTTACTGGCCGAGGGAGCCGGCGTTTGTCCGTAGACAGCTGCCGGGTCATGTGGCCAGCATGACTAAGCCACTTCTGGCGAACCAGAGCAGTGCACAGAAACATCGTTTACCTTCCTGCTGGAGCACTACCTATTTATCCACTTGCACTTTGACGTGCTTCCGAACTGCTAGGTTGGCAGGAGCAGGGACTGAGCAACGGGAGCTCACCCCGTCGCAGGGATTCGAACTGCCGACCTTCTGATCGGCAAACATAGTGGGTCTTAATTCTGAGTAAACATATAGAGAATTGCATGGTACAGATCTGAGAAAATAGATAAGAAATTACAGGTTGTAGTTTAGATATTTTTAACAAGCACTGCTTTGTTTGCCTGGTACTCAAAGGTTTTCATCATTTCTGTATAACTAGAACTTGAGATCCCTTCCATGGAATTGAAGCGCAGCAGAAGATTACTGACTTTTCCACACAACACATCATATGGTTTTGGCCATTGGCTTAGAGAACTTTAAAATATCAATTGGCTAAATATCATTTGATAGACATATTTCATCCTCCTGGTTCAGAGGTTGTCTACCCCTGAATATGCTGAAGGAGGGAGACAAGCAACCGAAAAACGGTTATTGGCCTCAAACGGTGCTTGTGCATTTCCTGAAGCACCTGGCTGGACTAGATGGATCCTTTGGAGGGATCCAGCACAATAGCTCTTCTATTCAAAGGGATTCCCACCCCCTTTAAAGACAATATTGTTTATTTCTGGTTTGTTGACTGCTTGGCTCTCTGCTCTGTTTTATTTGCAAAAGGAGATGCTAGTGTCAGGGCTGGTGTTGGGAGCAGGCCAGCAATAACTTATAAGGTGTCTGTGAAGTTAACTCCTTATACAAAGAAACAAAACACCTCAGGCCTCATGAGCACAACAGCTATTCCCAGTAGACCTTGCCCCAATGAGGCAGTTGAAGGTCCCCACTTTTCCACAGCGCTCTAAGTCTCCTCCTCTCCAGGCTCCTTCCCAAGCAGTTGGAGACACTGGCACCTTGTCCAGCTCTGCTCTGCCCTCCATACCTCTGCAGGTTCTGAGAGACTGGGCGGTGGGGTGGGGTGTTGGTCACAGTGGGAGGGAGAGACCCCCTGGCTTCTTCAGCATATCTCATCACCTGTTGCCCCCCCTCCAGCCTTTGCTTCTGCCTCTGCTTCTGAACTGTTCTCTGCTCCAGCCTCTTCCAGCTCACTAAACCCTGTTGCCTCTTCAGCTTATGACAGGGGTCAGCAAACTTTTTCAGCAGGGGGCCGGTCCACTGTCCCTCAGACCTTTTGGGGGGCCAGACTATATTTTGGAAAAATAATAATAAAAGAACGAATTTCTATGCCCCAGAAATAACCCAGAGATGCATTTTAAATAAAAGCACACATACTACTCATGTAAAAACACCAGGCAGGCTCCACAAATAACCCGGAGGTGCATTTTAAAGAAAGGACACATTCTACTCATGTAAAAACATGTGGGGTGGATTTAGAAGGCGATTGGGCCGGATCCGACCCCCGGCCTGTTTGCCTACCCATGGCTTATGACACCTCCTCCCTGTCTGCTGTCCCTTTGACCACTCATTGTCACCCCAGCACCAATCGCTGGGCGCTGAGTCTTCTTCCCTTGGGGGTTCCTTTCGGCGTTCCCTAGCAGGTGCCTCTCAGCACTCCTCAGCATCCAGCCAGTCCATGACAGCTGTTTACTGCTTATAAATCATTCCTCATCATTTCTCTCTCACACTCACACCAGCCATCCCTACCGTGCTCCACAGAAGAGGCAGCTGGCCCCTTCAAGGTTTTGTTTTATTCTTATTTTATTGCAGGGGAGCAAAGAAAGCATGCCCTCTGCTGTTTTCGTTGGTGCAAAACGGTGGTAGTGCCAAATCATGAGGCATTACATTACCCTATTAAGGGAGGGACGCCTGATCATATGTTCTCCCCACCCCAGCACAAAATTAGGCAGCGCCACACCCACTGCTGTCTCTCTTCCTTAGTAGCACTGCTGTGGACATTTGTGCCTGCTATCAAATTACCCAGTGTGCAATGCCTGGGAAGCACGCATGACCAGAGGAACTGAGCGACTCCGAATCGAAAGCCCAGGTATTGTGCTACCCACCCTGAGCATCCAAGGCAGGGAGGAGGGGGGCCGGGTGCAGGAGTGCCTGGCGCATAAGGGTCCCTCTCAGGCCAGTGCGGGGCCCCTTGGATCATGTTTTGTTTGACTGCTGCCACCAGCCTGTACTTGAGACAGATAGTACAAATCCTGTTTTGAAAAGCTCTGAGTCGTAAGTACTGCTGGGGTTTGCCTTTCCAACAATCAGGTAAACTTCATCCAGTTCAGTCTCTGTTTATTAAAAAATGTTCTCAAGTTAGCTGTGGTAGTTTTCAAAAAGCAATGTCATTCCTTGTCCTCCAATAGTTGACGGCTGAGTTTTTAGAAATAGAAATTATTGAGCTGTGCCCTACTAAAAGAGGGTAAAGGTGAAGGGAACCCTGATCATTAGGTCCAGTCGCAGACGACTCTGGGGTTGCGGCACTCATCTCGCTTTACTGGCTGAGGGAGCCGATGTTTGTCCACAGACAGCTTCCGGGTCATGTGGCCAGCATGACTAAGCCACTGCTGGCGAACCAGAGCAGTGCGCGGAAAACGCCGTTTACCTTCCCACCGGAGCGGTACCTATTTATCTACTTGCATTTTGACATGCTTTCAAACTGCTAGGTGGGCAGGAGCTGGGACCAAGCAACGGGAGCTCACCTCTTTGCAGGGATTCGAACTGCTGACCTTCTGATCGGCAAGCCCTAGACTCGGTGCTTTAGACCACAGCGCCATACCCCACTGTAAAAAGGGCCTGGTCTTCCTGCTAGGGGAAAAAATTGCAGGCTTTCCCAGTTGTGATTTCCATAAAACAAGTAGTTTGGTACAAACTAAAATTTCCATTGTGCTTTGCATTGCCTGATTTTTTATTAACCAATTTAACACAAGACTGCTATATTGGGGTGGGGGGAATGAAAGAGAGAGCAATTCATATTAAAGACAATATCCACAGCAAATTTAAATAGACACGATCTAATCCCTACCCAGAGAGTTGAGGCTCCACCCCAGTGCACTTGTTTATATCTGGCTTTGCCTTAAAAATCCATCCATTGTACATAATGTTTGAATAGGGGACTGTACCCCAATGTGCTTATGCCCAATCCATGTGATTGTTGTTCCCTGATTTTGAGGGGAGGCATCTATGAGGATCACATAAACAGAATTTTATCTTCTGTCATGTGCCTAGCCATATGTCATCGGGAGATATAAAAGTGGTGCAGATAATTGGACATTATGGCAAATACCAATACCATCTCCAGGATTATGGGGCCATTTCACTCGTTTTCTGAGGCTTATGGTTCAATGGTTTGGTGACTTTTATACTAGACTACTGTAATGCATTCCACCTGGGGCTGCCTTTGAAAATAGTGTAGAAATGTCAGTGCAGAATGCAGCAGCCTACCTGCTGATAGGTGCAGAAGCCGGTGTGTTTTGGGATCCAGGTGCTGGTTTGTACTTTTTAAAGAAAACAACAACAACCACCATAGGTGGCTTGGGGCCTGCTTATTTCAGGAAATATGAACCCTACTGGGATGCGAGATGCCAGAATTAAGCCATGCTCCATCTTGGGTGTCGGCTGGATTGTGGCCAGTCAGAATAGGCTTTCTCAGGCGCAGTTCTGATGTTCTGGAACACCATTTCGTGAGAGGTTTGCATAACTTCCACCCTGGTGTCATTTTGGGGGTAAGGGGCAAAGTGTGTGTGGTTTTTCTTTTTCTTTGAAAGCCTTTGGGGCTGCCTTCCTTTTATGGTGGGTGACAAGCTCCTTTTACGCGTTGGGTATTGCCGTTGTTTCATCACTTGTTTTTATCATGTTTTTGATGTTAGTTTAAACTTGTTAAACCATTGTGAAATTGCCTATAAGTAATACTATGAACAATTGCCTACATGGCAGTGATTTTCATGTAGAAAATTCATAATTTGTTCTCAGAAGCCTACGGCATTTTGAGATTTTGTGTCAGATGCGTAGAAGTTTCTTGGCAGAGAGGTTCATGTGAAACACCTCCTTGAAAGTATAAAGGTTTGAAAACCAGTGCTGTAAATTGTAAGTTCTGTATTTTGGAATAGAGTTCACTAGCATACAGTAAGCAGATTGGTTGCAATTTTATCAGAATGTGCTTTTATTCAGAATATAAATACTGTGTTAGGATCGTTTAGTAAGACTGTTTAAGCTCAGATTGCAGCAGAACCTCGCACTATGCATAGCACCAGGCTGGATGTGTGCTACGGTACTTGGATAGTTGTACATCTTTTATGAGTTTATATTTAAACAGAAAATCACAAGCTACTTCATTCAGCATCCTGGGCTTCCCTGGATTAAATTTCTTTGAATTGTTTGATGTTGAAATTAAAGTAGTCAGGAAGCGCTGTGTCTTTGAGCGTGAATGAATGAATCCTTTTTCCTCGATAGAAGAAAAGCAGTCAGTGACGGAATAATGGCTTGCGTTATTCTGATGTGTTTGCTTTTTAAGAGTGTGCTTTCTCCTAATTATAAAGTTATTGTAGTATTTTAGTGCTTGCGCATGGTACAATAATGAAATGCTAAAGAAATGACTGGAAGTACTGGTTGTTTAATTTAGAATGTTCAAAGGTTCGGATTTTCTAAAAAGCTGTATCAGCATTTGCTGTAGTGCTTTTTAGCAAATGTTTCCTTTGTTGCAAAAATGCGTAATATTTTGCCTCGAGCTGTTAGTTAAATGAGCGAAACTCGTATAGTGAGCTGCTAATTATACATGGTAATTATTATTTTGTTGTGACGCTTCCTTATCTCAGATACGGTATGCCATTTGAGACCTAATAATTTTAGTTCTCTCTGAAAGTCCAACATCTGCATCATATTCACATTATGCAGGGTTTCATTTGTCCCTAGATGCTTACAGTACTGGTCTGAGTGCATTGCATTTTAGGATCTGAATACGTGCAGCTGATGAAGATTGGGTCACTGCTGCCATCTTTGATCATTCTAATCTCCTGGTACTGTTGGTGGGGGCAGTCATTCCCCACACCCAGCTCAAAATAGGTAATTGGTGACAGTGAAACACACCATCTGTTTAGTTGGTGTGTACACATTTGAATGCCCAGACCCAGGTGCTAGTTCTTAATTCACACACAGCAGCCTTTGCACAGGAACCTGATTTTGAGAATAATGCATGGCAACTTGTTTTAAGTAATCCCATCCAAAGCTTGGATCAATGAAAAAGGACACCCCCCCCAATTTATCACTAAATGCCACATATAAAAACCTTTTCTTTAAAGGAAAATACAAATTCTGATTATATTTCAATAGAAGGCCTAGTTTGTACATAATTGTAAGCTAAACAAATTACAGTTGACCTGGAACTAGCAAGCACCCTCAGGCACACTGATCCCCTCTCTTAGTTATGTTGGGAGGACACAAACCAGAGTACTAGTTTAGCATCTACTAGCTTAGCATCTACCAGCTCCATCTGGTACGCAGGCTGAGACCCTACCTGCCCGCAGACTGTCTCGCCAGAGTGGTGCATGCTCTAGTTATCTCACGCTTGGACTACTGCAATGCGCTCTATGTGGGGCTACCTTTGAAGGTGACCCGGAAACTACAACTAATCCAGAATGCAGCAGCTAGACTGGGGACTGGGAGTGGCTGCCGGGACCACATAACACCGGTCCTGAGAGATCTGCATTGGCTCCCAGTACGTTTCCGAGCACAATTCGAAGTGTTGGTGCTGACCTTTAAAGCCCTAAATGGCCCCAGTCCTATATACCTGAAGGAGCGTCTCCACCCCCATTATTCAGCCCGGACACTGAGGTCCAGCTCTGAGGGCCTTCTGGCGGTTCCCTCATTGCGAGAAGTGAGGTTACAGGGAACCAGACAGAGGGCCTTCTCGGTAGTGGCGCCCGCCCTGTGGAACGCCCTCCCTTCAGATGTGAAGGAAATAAGCAGCTATCTTCTCTTTAAAAGACACCTGAAGGCAACCCTGTTTAGGGAAGTTTTTAATGTTTGATGGACTATTGTATTTTAATATTTTGTTGGAAGCCGCCCAGAGTGGCTGGGGAAACTCAGCCAGATGGGTGGGGTATAAATATTAAATTATTATTATTATTAGCATTTTGTGCAAACCAATGCTCATAGTTCGGTTCCCGCCAAGCAAACAATTATAACAATCCAAGATTCTGTAAAGTGCAGAATACCTAAAAAAAAAATGTGTGTGGGGTCTAATTGACTTCATAGTTCTTTAAGCCTTAAAAATATTGTACCATCTACATAGAAATAACACAATTACAACAGTTACATAAGTATTACAGCCACGAGTTGTAAATTCCCCATAATGGCTGCTTACCTGGTCCAGGGTGGGCGGCGGTTGAGATCCGTCGTTGTGGCTCTGCTACTCTCCGGAGCAGTGCCATCATGCTTGCAGCTGTTGGCTTCTTCCTCGGCCGCCGTGGAGCATCTTCGGTTCCTGCCTGACCCAATTTTGAAATTTGCCCATTCTGTGGCAGCCTGGGGGTGGGGCTTTGGGAGCAGACCAGAGGGCAGCAGTCTTCACTCAGGTCCGCTCCCTGTCCATAGGAGCTGGCCGGTGCTCTTGCACAGTTGGAGAGAGTTATCTAGTCCAACGCTTATAACTTATAATTTAGCATCCCAAAGTTGAGTTACCTGTGTGCCCTTCCACCCTTAGTAACTGTTGTAAAACAACAGTGTCCTGTGCCACTAGTTAAAAACTGACCTATTTTTCTCACTGATTACTTTGCCCTGCAATACACAATGAAGACTACTATTTTATATATACTTGAGATTGTCTCAGTGAGCTTAGTGAGTATTGTTGTTGTTTAGTCGTTTAGTCGTGTCCTTCTCCTCGTGACCCCATGGACCAAAGCACGCCAGGCACTCCTGTCTTCCACTGCCTCCCGCAGTTTGGTCAGACTCATGCTGGTAGCTTCAAGAACACTATCCAACCATCTCGTCCTCTGTCGCCCCCTTCTCCTTGTGCCCTCCATCTTTCCCAGCATCAGTGTCTTCTCCAGG